GGGACTCTGGACATCTCTGCTGGTCCCTGCTGTTGTTAGACCTTAGTGGGCTTCATGTAAAGATTCTCAGCTGCGTTCACACTAACTTGCAGAGTGTAAAGTTGCCTTGTCTTTCATCAACTCAGCACTGTGCAAATGCTTCCTATTGCTCCAAGCGTTACACAGGTTCTGCGATACAGTTATTCACAGGGTATTTTATTTACACTCATAACCCTGTTGGCCTGAGACAGCTATGTTTAGAGCCCATCTGTGTGTTTCTGAAACCATGGCATGGCAGAATCATAAAGCAAACATCATCCAGGAACTGATAATAAAGAATTTTAGTTGTCCCTGTTGTTCCTTTTGAAAGGCTATTCCAGAACCTCATGCATCTGAGAAGCAGAATGCTAATTTGTATCTAATATTTCATCCAATATTCACCATCATACTATTCAGTTTCACAATATTCTTATTCTAGTGCTCAAGATCTTCTGAATGCCAGTGGTTCCAAACCTGTGTACCTGCTTTTAGGAAAAAGAGTTTTATTAAAACTGGAAATAAGATCAGTGCTGAAGAAGCTCTCCTTGCAGTCTCCCTCCAGGCTGAAAGGAGGGATTTGAACAATACAATGTTTATTATATACCACTTAAAATTGCTTTAAATACACTCTTCTCTATCCTGCCTTTTTATTTCTCATTAGATACAGCACTATATCAAATACTTCACTTAAACTCCAGATGAGAGATCTACCTATACTGTTTTCTAGAAGTTCAGATATTTTATCAAGGGAAAAATATTTCTTTGGATTGGCACAATCTACTCACCTTCTATTTCATCCCAATTTCTACATATTGTCAGGCCCTTAATCATTCTTTAATGAATCTTTTAAAATAATTTTGTAAAGTATTACATACTAGTGAATTCAGACTAAAGGGTCTAACACACTAGATGACCCTTTTAATCCATTTTTTCCATCCATTTCACTAGAAGCATTACCTTTTACCAAACCATCAATCCCACAGTGTCTGTTTTTCAGTTTGAAAGCTTTATTACAAATTTTGGCTATTTGACCTTATTTTCACATTTAGTTCAGTCACAGATCGGCGATAGAGATTACCCAGCACCCTAAATTAACTTCACGAAACTCAGTGAATATTTCTATTTATTGCAATAAGAATACCTTTTTCCTTCATATCTCAGTTCCTACTAGAGCCTTTTCCCTTCTACAGTGTCAAATATAATCACTGTCATTGAACAGTAAAGCAAATTATTCTGTCAGTATAAGAGCCATACCTAGTTACCTTTTGTTCCTACTATGTTCCTATCTCCATAGTAATTATAACCTTCTATTACTGGCTTTCCTCTCTATTTATTTCAATTTTGGAGTTTACATATATATATGTATCTAAGCATATATATATGTAAAAAAAGAAGCTTGACTTGGCAATTTTTAAAATTTTCACTACACCCATCTTTATTTTTGTATGAATATGTATATTATATACGTATATAGCTAGGGATAAGACTAAGCAAGTTTCTGCCAATACACGTACCCAAACATTGAAATAACTATTTAAACACCAAACACAAATTCTGAAAACATAAATAGCAAATATTTCTATTTTATTGAAAAATAATACTGAGAAAGTAACTAGAACCTGACATTATTAAAATAGCATAGGAATGACACTCGGTTTTCTTATTGTACTGCTTTTTCTCCCTTTTGATGAGGTTTGGTTTATTACTTGGTTTCTGGGTAAAACATGAACAGAATCTCAGTGCTTTTGCTATTCCCCACCTGCTCAGATGACTAACAAGTTAACATCAAAATTCCTCTCTGATGCCTTCTCCAGCTCCAGGTTTTTACAGAATAGATGCTTTGCCCTATTAATAAACCACCCTTAAATGTCACAAAAGATGGCTCTTACAAACCATCAGGCAACTCTGAGTGAAAGAGAACCCTTGCACGAGATTTGTGTAGTTTCAATTCTTATCAGAGTTTGGTTCCTTGCTGCTTGATCAATTTTCATCTCATTATGCCCAGCATTAGCTTGCAGGATTAGCTGATAGTCAATGGTATGTGAGGCTTGACACAGAAGAGAAAAAAAAAAAAACCAACACCCTATTCAATTTGATCTTGCGGTTATCCCCAGAGAACAACAACAAAGTAATTTACTCCCTTATTAAGGAGGTTATTGAGGGCAAAGCTATCTGCATGTAACTACTGTCTGCCTCTTTTGTGCATGGATATTACCTATTAGTGCACCATGTTTTAATACGTTATTAGCCTAAAACCAATATTTGGGGACCTATTATATTGACAGTTTAGTTTTTCTAACTGTGTTACTGCGAGAAAAAGTGCTGAGAGAAATATGTAGATTAAATTATTAAGATATATTTCTTTTTCCTGATTATAAGGCATGATTTTTTTATGCTGCTTATCCCAGCTAATGAAAGTCAGATTTATTCAGTTTCGGGCAAATTAGAAGGAGTTTTTAAAATATCAAATGAATTTTATTTTTGCACAACATATTTTTAATAGCAAATATTACAGATGTTCGTCTGAAGACCACCTCAGAACCTGATTATAGAACAAAGAGTGGTTGAGGGAAAGTTTAGAAATGCAAAGTTAATATGAAAATATTAAATTAATATTAAAACATCAAACAGTTCTAGGACCCAGGCCAGAGCACTGGAACTCAATCATCTATGCAGCTAAATTGTTGCTGGCATATTTGAGAGTCAGCTGAGAGTCAAGTTACAACTCTCCCAATCAATTTGCAGGCACTATTTGGAGAGTAGCATGAGTCAAAGATCAATTCTGTTAGACTTTTATGTTGCAACTATTCTGTTCTAGAGGATAACATGATTTTGCAATCTCAGTGTAGTTGCATCAGTTGGGCCTGAGACCAGAAAATGCATTCTGGTATTGTTTTGTTTCGGTGATAGCGGTAGCTTCTGAGGCCATGAGGAAATGTCATATTAGGGTTGGGGACCTATTTGTTTGAGCATATTTATCAAAAAATAATCTAAATGGTAAATCACTGCTTTCTTACAACATTTTTTAAATTAGGCAAAAAAAGCCATTTTATTTTTTGGGAAAATGAATGCAGGGCTTGAACTTAAAAACTAAAAGATTGGGTTTTATTAAATCATTTGAAACAGAATTAAAAGACATATGGAAACTGGAATTTTCAAAGGTATATACATTATCTGAGTGTTTAACTGTATTTTGCTGTCAGAAAATATCACACAAACCCACAATTATTTATAGTTCTTTCAAGCTACAAGGCTAAAAAGGGTCAGCAGGTTAACTTCCAGAAAGGTTCACATCAAAAGCCAAGAAATCTCTGTCCTTATAGTAGCTGTCATCACTTTTAAAAGATGAAAATTATTTGAGAACTTTAAAAAAGGAAAATCACTGAATCCTAATATATAGGCGCACATGTGTACAAAAACTTGCAGAACAAATATAGACTGGATATATTAAGAATAAAATCACTTACACTTAAGCTAATGCTGCTTGACCAAACAGCAAGGGCTTCCGTTTCATCAATTTCTTTTAACAAAATGTTTGGGTTAAGTTGTTTATTAATGAGAGAACAGAAAGTTGAAAGGAAAATTCTCACCAAGTCCACCTTGGAAAAACGAGCTGAAGGAATGGTGGAGTTGGAAAACATTAAGCAACAATGGGCATCATGTCAATGAATAAAGCCAAAAGACAGGAGAGAGGGATGCCCAATATATGTTTCACAAGCAACATGAGGTAATTTTAACCCTAGTGAAACTAATTCTGAAGACATAGGATTGTTTGTTTTACCATACATTTGCACTCTGTTATTGTTATTTAATTATTAGAAAGAAGTAGACAAAGCAGTGTCTCCATATTATTTTGAGTGAGACAAGTTCCACCCTCTTACTCAAATTCTTGGGCCCCTGAAAAAAGGAAAGCCTGTTGTCTTTCCACTTTGATTTCTGCTGAACTCCCTTTGATTAGAGACCTTAATTTAGTGTAAATAACCAAACACAATCATTTAGTTCTTATATCCTGCATACAATAGTCAAACTTGTCCACATGGGCAGCTTCCTGAACATCATTTCTGCAAAATCATTACTGGTCAGTGATCCTAAATGCTTTTGCAAATATGGAGAAGAGCTTTTAACAATGCTTTTCTATAGCAAGTAATTGTAAACACTTCTGGGCAGGTAGAGATATATCATGTTTAGGAACCATAGTAGAATTGAAATAAAGTCTATACTGTTTCTCACCAGTTTTGCTAAGAGAAACACAAGGAAGGACCTTTGACTTTCAGTGATTGCCATATATTCTTGTCAGTCATCCATATAAATTACAGATCAGTATTTAGCAGTGCTCACACATGCACTTCAAGAAAAAGCTTTCATTATAAAACTTCCTAAATTTTCTCTTTCTTGGTCTATAGATGCTTTAGTAAGTTTTAGATTTGATTGTTTACTATTTATTTACTTATTTCTTGGCTTTTGCGAATATGTGTAGAAAACTTTGGATTTTTTACATTTACAAATGTAGCCTCACTTGGTAATGCATTTTAGAAGTGTGTGTGTGTGTGTGTGGTATTCAAAAAGCACAACTCAGAAACACCACTTCAAGAAAAAACCTGGGACCACTTACTTTAACTTGACATATATTCTGTAACAGATCATTAAAAAAAAACCTAAAAATCTGGATCTGTTGCTATTAAACAGTATTGTACACAACTGACACCTCACTATTCCAATCTCTGGGGAAAGTATGCTTTTCAAGCATTCCGCTACCAGAGGCAAGTAATTTATAAAAAGTAATGTATATTAACATTTTGTGTGACAGAAGTTTGAGGGGTTTTTTTGTCTAGTTAGAACAAATTGAAGCCTACCAGTGTTTTGGATATGTATGAGTCATTAAGTAGGCACTATATATTACTATACAGATATTTGATTTTAATCAAGACTTAATTATTTTTTAGAATACTTGATTTTAAAACAACTTTTTAAACAACACCTACTTGAGATCTTGGGAAGGTTCTGCTCTGATGTGGGGTGTCTCCACAGAGTGCCCAAACACTGCCCCTTCTGTGCCTAAAATACATAAATAAAATGCAGTATAATTACTTTGGAAAATGAAAACACATTGAAAAGTATGCCACAAATTAACATTTTTTAGGACAAAATCTCTGATTGTATCCTTTTTAACAATTTTCAATGTTTCTTCATATTTATGTTTGCATTTCTATATCAAAATCTGGACTGACATCATGTGAAACCTTAGACTTCTGCTTCTCAGTAGATGAATTTCACATACAAATCTGAAAACATTTATAGATCCAAAGTTTTCACCACTGACTTGCCTGAATGCTCATCCCAACACTTAGGAGATGAATCATTTTACAGAGAAGGAAAAGGATATCATAGGTTTGTTTGACAAAAACACATTTTAGAATTATCTATTTTTTGCGTGATACTAATTTTGATTACTTAAATTGAGAAACCAAGCTTTCAAAACTTTTGAAATAATAGTCTACCACCTGAAGTTCCTAGCCTGAATCTAAACATCTGACAGCTTCAGAGTTTCCTTCCATCGGAGCTTTCTCACTGAAAACCTTTGCTCTTAAAGAAATGAGAGAGACTTCTTTGGTATGTCCTTTGGTTTCAGTGTTGGTAGTGGATGCACATGTACCTCCTATGGGGCACTCAAAATCAAGGCAAAGAAAATGGGTAACTACTTCCTAAAACTGAAATGATTGTCTACTGAATTTTAACTTCTGTAACTAGGCCCAAGTTGCATATGATAATTCTACATTTTGAATTACAAGACCAAGATTTGATTTTTCATTGAAAAACTCCTTTCCAATGAAAAGATTAGGGTAGTGATAAATGCTCACTGAAGCAATTTTTGAAAAAAATTTTGAAAAAAGGACAAATATTTACACAATCCATTTATTAAATGCAGTTATTTTTTAAAGAGGATGAAAAAAAGACCAAAAAAATTAATAAATATCTGAGTAAAGCAAGTTCTTTGTTAAAATAACAGAAAACTCAATAAACTGACATGCAGAGAAGAGCACTATATAATCAGCATTTCTCTTAACTCTCAGACACAAGGATTGAACATATAACAGTCATATATATCACTCAATTTACATTTAATAACCTACCTATGTTGCTAGGCATTCAAAAGTTACATCTTTTTTTTTTCTTCCTGAATCCTATCATCATGTCTATTTTTCTTTACTGATTTGTCCAATACTGTTATATTTGTCTTCCACTTATATAAACTTGGTTGGTTTTTTTGGGTTTGTTGTTGTTGTTGTTGTTTTGGTTTTTGGTTTTGCTTTTGTTTTTTTTTTTCTTTTAAACAATATCCGTGTGCCTGTAAGCTTTCAGTTTCCTTCTCTAGATGGTGTACTGGGCACTGTGTAATAAAAATAGCCTAGAACTACCATGTGAAACTCTTTCCAACAGGGAACTGCCACTAAAGATGAAAGAATTGAATAAAAACACATGTAAAACAGGTAATGCATTTACCTTCTATCACCAGAAAGAAGATCAAGGAAACTGTCTGGGATAATTATAGCTGATTACTAAATATTCTGGGATTAATTGCCATATTTCAATAACAGAAGTTTTCTTATGTTCTGAGCCTTGAATGTTGAGTAAACTTAAAAATATACCAACAATATCTCACAGTAGCTGTGTAAGAAGTGCTCAGCGAAACAGAGGCACCACTCTAATTGTTACAATATTTTAAATAAAATCAAGTATTTTCAATTATTTAAATATTTCACTTAAATATTTCACACATTTTTTCATAAATTTTAGCTGTTAATGGAAATAGATATTTAGATATTTTTGCAGTTAACCAATAACATTTAGTAAACTGATACTAGGAGGATTTGATAGTAGAAGGAGACTATGGAATGTTTAATTGATAATACCATTTTACAGTGTTAAAGAGAAAACGACCTGAGCAAGAATAAAAAATAAAATCTAATTAAACATCAAACTAAAGTACTGTCAGAAAATTGTCATTGTTAGTAATCTTCTAAACTCCACTTTCATTAAAAAAAAGGTGAAAAAACCCCAAACAAACAACTTCTAAACTCCACTTTCATTAAAAAAAAGGTGAAAAAAACCCAAACAAACAAAAACCTTCATGGAGTATCAAACAGAGGAACAGGGTACTTCTGAGAGTCATGAAGTAAAGTTCTAGGTTGTTATCTCCAGAAATCTACAAGCTTTACAAATATCTTGGCAAAGCATACCGAAGACAGTTTCATTACAACTGCTGCTTTGAAGATCTCAAAAGGAAACAAACAAATCCACTTTCTATAACCAAACTGTGCTGAGTGTTATGGAGAACCACAGGAGGGAAAAAACAGCAAATCTGTTTACCTAGAAGTATTCACAGATGTGCTGTGCAGAATCTGCTTTTTAAACCTGACATTGACTTGCAATTCTGCTACCTTTAAGAGATAGGAATAGCATGTTTGTATAGCCAGGCTTTCTGTCACTCATAATAAATATCATCACCATCTATAACGGCAAGCAAGAAATTCTATTGGAGCTGAATATCAGAAATCAAAGAGTGGGCTTCTAGATCCCATTCACCCTTTTCACCAGAAAAATTAAATATTTCAAGGCCAAGGGCTTTTTTTTTTTTTTTTTTTGAAGGTGGCAATAGGATATGAAGATATAAATAACCGAGCAGGACGCAGAATTGACAGTCTTTACTTAGGAAAAGAACACAGCTGTTTGAAAGAGCAGAATTAATATAAAGATGTATAAAACATCACTGTAGTATGACTCAGACACTAAATCAATCAGAAGTGCCAAAGATAATTTTAAGCGAAGACTGATAACAAAAGATAAATGACAGCTGGTTCTAAGCCAGCATTAGTATCAGCAGCATTTGTTTAAAAGATGAGAAAATGTTTCTCCCCTAACAAAATAGAAATTTGGAAAAAAATACAAACTCCGTCCAAGCAGACTGAAAAACGAGGCAGGCAGAATTAAGGATAAACTGATATAATGAAATAAAATATAATTAAAACTCAAACCAAAGGTGCTCCTTTTGTTATTTGAAGACATGTTTTTTTCTTCTCATATGGACTCAAAAGTGAAAGTATAACAGTTCTTGTGGTAAATGCTTCATCCTCAGAAAATATGCCATCAACAAGTTCAGTAATATCCCCAATTCCTTTTATTTTATACTGGAAGAAAAGCAGGCAGTTACAATTATCTTGTTTTCAGTAAGAAAGGTGAAAAAGATGAGCTAGCCAGAATTTACTGATGTGTTTCCAACAGTTAAACATCAGGATCCAGAAAAACAGAAAGGGATTGTACAGGAAATAAAAGACATGGATCAGCATTACTTAAAAATACAGAACAGAAGAAAAACTATACGAAGGTATTCTTTATTTTTTTATTTATTATATGTAAATCTGTAGTGCTTTGTTGGGAAGTTAGATCATGTAGTTTAGTACTGCTTAGGAAAAGGTGCTACGAACATACCTTTCTGTGAATAATAAATATGACAATATAAATCAGGATTCAAAGTGAATAGCATGATTTTTTAATGAAATAAATGTACTTCAGGTATTTAATATTTTACAATGTTAAAACACTTATTTTTTTACAGAAATAAGGCAAGGATCTATTAACCATATTACCTGACATACAGAATCATAACCAAGACCTACATTGAGATGAGTGAAATTCTAGAGAGAGATGAATGAATACAAAAAAAGAATAAAAATAAAAGACTTGAACCTTCAAGCCCTTCCAAGTACAGCTCAAAAGGAAGTAGATATGGAACTGAATTCAAAGGAACAGGAGTTAGAACTGATAGCTATAAAAAGTGAACCTTTCAGAGAAAATAAAATAGCAAGGGCTCGGAGGATGTGCAAATTATGTCAAATCAAAACTGTAACTGTAACTGAATAAAATTACTCTCACCTCCACCTTCCAGTGGAAGAGAATGAATTAAGTACAAACTTCACTAAGAAGCATCTGTGAAAGCAAATTACTGGTCAAAGAATACCAGTTGCTATAGAGGTTGCTGGAGAAAACTCAGTAAATAGCACAAGTCAGGCAAAAAGACCAAAAGTCCAATTCTGTATTTATAGAGAAACTTCTTTACGAACAGCAGATTTATAAACACCAGACCTTTAAAACATACTTTTTTTTGACACAGAGCAAATCAAAGTGACCCTTTTACTACAAGCAAAACTAGTCACATGTTCATGCTGAAACTGAATATTCAGAATTCAGAGACACCAGTGTAAACCACTCATTTCTGCTCAATTTACTGGTTACTGAAATTCAGCTTTTGGGAAATGGTAAGTTTAACAAAATGGAAGTACAACACTGGTATTTGGTACTGGATTATATATGCTTATGTATGTGCACGCTGAGGAAATTTTGCATTTATATAACAAGCAAACGATGTGTTCCTAATTGATGAGTTAGTTCATACAACACGGGAACCTTTGTGTGACTTATTAAAGTGACTAGCATGAAAAGACCAGCAGCCAAGCATATTGATTAGTAGAGCTATTTATTTTGTGCTAAAACAATGCCAGCTGAAGCACTGATGAGCCAAGCTTCAAAAACTAAAAAATTATTTTGTTGTGAAAAATGAAACATATAGTAGGATTACCCCACTCCTTCACATCATTCTTATAAGCAAATCACCTCAAATGTACTGAGAATGGAATTGTATCGCACTTTGATGTGTACCAATTCTACGGCACTGCAGTATCACAAACACAGCTGAATCTTATTACCTTGATCTTTCTCTAGGTTTTCCAGAAACTGCAAGTAACAATATGATGAAGTACTAAGATTATGCAAGTATTAGACTGTAATGCCAATTTGTCCTCTGAGTTAGAAAGTTTAAAGAAGATTTTGTAAAATATTTATAATTTTTAAAGCTTGTCATCTTACTTGTTGTAAATTTATTATTAAGTTAAAGCATCCACAGGTCTCACAGAGAAATGTGAGTAATTGATCAAGATTGCTTTACCATTACAGAGACCTTGAAAACAAAGAGTTTAGGTTCTAAAAGTTTAAGTGCAATA